GGAAGAGGGCCAGCATGAGCAAATACCCTGGGGCCAGGTGCATAGGGGTATCCAGAGCCCCAGTGCTGGTTTAGAAGCAGGGGAATGACATTGTGGAAAATAAACAAAGACTCCTCTAGTTGTTCTGGGAAGAATTGACTGGAGGAGGTGAGGGGGAGAAAGTGGGGGGTGAGAAGGTAGCAGTGGAAAATAGGGAGGCAGGGAGGCTGGAAGACACCTGGCAAGGGCAGAAGCAGGGACTCAGCCCTTCTCCTGATCTGAACCAGAATTGCAAGAGCACAGGTGCTGCCACCCAATGCCTGACACCTTGAGTCTGCATTGACGGATGGCAGCAAGTGTCACACACAGGTAGGTGTCAGAGCCAGGAAGGAGACAGGTGGTGGTGTATGTGTGGGTATGGGTGGGTGTGGGTGTGGGTGTTACAGGAGAAGAGGGAACCTCGGGTGGATCCAGATTCCTGGGAAGGGGGACAGAGTGGGCCAGAGGAAATGACCTGCACCTGTAAGCCACCTGGGGAGTCAGTGGATTGACCCAAGGTCGGAGCCCCCCAGGAGCTTGGATCCTGGATGTGAGCAGAGGGAATACCTCACTTTCTAAGATGTGTGCCTGCTCTCCAGGGGTTGACTGAGTGACCTTGGAAAGTGGCACAGTAAGTGGGCACAGCTGGGTTTGACCTCTGCCTTCTCCTCAGGAGCTGTGCTGTGGCCCCAGGTGCTCCCGGCTGGAGACTGAACTGGGTATGTGGAGAGGGGATGATTTGTCCATGAGAGGATTTAAGGAGAAGAGATGAGGCCTTGGTGTTCATGGACTTAGGTTAATGATAGGCAAGGGCATGCCATGGAGGGGGTTAGGTGGGCACTGAACGATTCCAGATTAGCTGGGAGAAGGCCCTCAGAGGTGTCTCTGGGCAGCTGGGCAAGGGGTCCTAGAGATTCTTTTATTCCTAAGCTTCTTGTTCTGGGGAAGTAGATGACCCAGGAGCTGTGCTGGGGTAGGAGAGGGACTGCCCCTCAGAGCCAAGGGGAGAACAACCCTCAAGGTCAAGGTCAAAGTCCTGCCTTTCCCAGACTTTCTGAGGTCTGCATAATGAGTGTTCCGGAGAATCAAACCTGCCTTGTGTATTTCTGAAGAATCAGAAATCATTTAGAATCATCCATGGCAGTTTTCAGGAAAAAAAAAAAAAAGTCACTTAAGAAAACGTTTTTCTAACGCTCTCTCTGCCACCACTGTCCCGCCTGCCCCGGGCCCCAGAGCCTTGGCAGCAGGGAGGAGAGGGAAGGGGTGATAAACCAGCATGGGGGTGAAGAGCTTTCAGCGTGTGCTGGATGCAGGGCTGGGCAGGCCCATGCAGAGTGCTGGGGGGTGGCAGCGGGATAAGGGTTTGGGGCCTTTCCCCAGCTAGGCCATGACCTCCCCTTGCCACCCTAGCTTCCATCCACTCCATAATCCACCCGCGGAAAGCCAGTTTACACAACACGAACTTAAATTCTCATTCTCCCTCTCCCCTCCTCCCGTAGCAGCCCTCCCTGCCCAGCTGCAGTACAAATTGATGAGCGCTCCATCAATTGATGACAATAGGACTGTCATCAGCCCTATTTTACTGTGGAGAAACTGAAAGGGATGGAGCAATTTGTTCAAGGTCACACAGTTGGCGATGAGCCTGAGTCTTCCAGAAGGCTGGCATTGAAGGGAGAGGTGGAGAGAACGGATTGCCAGGGAAGAGAATGGTACGGGAAGGAAGGACCCGCGCGCCTACTGCGCAGTGCGTGATGTGGTGAGGAAGTTTTGTGCCTTTGGCTCAACGCACGAAGACGTGTGCAGAGCGCCCCCTGGCGGAGCAGCCTCAAGGCCGCCTGCTCATTGAGTCAGTGGAAACCACTGGACAGCTCATGCCGCACGCAGAAATCAACTCGAAATGGGTTAAAGACCCAAAAGTAAGACCCGAAACCACAGACTCCTGAAGAAAACACAGGGGAAGGGCCGCACACTGGTCTTCGCAGGATTGTTTGGACAGGACACCAAAAGCAAAAGTGAGTAAGGGGGAGTTCATTAAACAAAAAAGCTTCTGCATGAGCCGGGTGTCGGTGGCTCGCGCCTGTAATCCTGGTTACTCAGGAGTCAGAGATCAGGAGGATCGAAGTTCGAGGCCGGCTCGGGAAAATAGTCGGGAGACCCTATCTTGAAAAAAAAAATCACAAAAGGTTGGTGGAGTGGCTCAAGGTATAAGCCCTGAATTTAAACCCCAGTACTGCCCCCAAAAAAAAAAAAAAAAAACCTGATTTAACTAATGGGAAAGGACCTGAACAGACATTTTCCAAAGACTAAAATCATCATCAAGGGTTGGCAGAGTGGCTCAAGTGGTAGAGTATCTGCTTTGCAAGTGTGAGGCCCTGAGTTCAAATCCCAGTCCCACCAAAAAAAAACCAGGTGAAATCAATTTTGATAATGTATTTTGTTTCTAGCCCAATCATAAATGTCATTATTTCTGCATTATTCGAGGTATTCTACTTCTCTTTTTGGTAATAAGTCTTCAACACGCAGTGTTTTACACTTATTTCCATTCGGAAGACCCACATGCAACCCACTAACGGCCACCATACCAGACAGTGTGGGTCTACAGTGTGGCTCAGCATTAAGGATGTTTGTTTGGTTTTGTTTTCTTTTCCATACCAGGGCTTGAATTCAGGGCCTATACCTTGAGCCACTCCACCAGCCCTTTTTTGTGTTAGGTAATTTCAAGATAGGGTCTTGAGAACTATTTGCTTGGGCTGGCTTTGAACCTAGATCCTCCTGATCTCTGCTAGGATTACAGGTCTGAGCCACCGGCACCCAGCTAGGGATATTTTTTAATGGGCTCAAGACTGCAAATACTGCTTCTGTAGCGAATGTCTAGCAGATCTAAAAAGAAGTTACATAAGACGGGAACTCTTGGAATGAGGATGGAAAGGATCGGTAGCATCAGTAGCAAGGTGACAGCCTGTAGGACACCATCCTATGAATTAGAAGCAGGTGACTCCTCTGGGCTCCTTTGCTGAGAGGAAGGTGATTTTGAATAGCCACAACCACAAAATGTTTCCTTTCTTTCTGGCAGACTTGTGTTCACCAGGTTTGATTAAGACAAACGAGAGCCACTCCAGGTTTCTCAAGTAGAAGGGATTTAACAGAGGGGCAGAGGGAGGGGTCTTGGCCCCTTGCTTCTGCAGAGCCCAACTCCCTGCTCACTCCTGAAAACCAGGGACCTTTTCCTCATGTCTCCCGTGGTCTGAAACAGTGTGCTGGGCACTGCTGTCACTCTGTAGAGACATGACATGAAGAAGCATGACCGAAGTTCTCTCCCAGGACAGAATCTAGACACAAAGAGTGTGGCCCCACCCCTGGGACCTCCCACCCGAGACCTCCCAGGAGCATGACACTGAAAGTGTCTCTTGTCGAGCAGCAGCCCAGGAGTGGCTGGCACTGTTTCCCAACAGCACTCCCCCCTCTTCCTTGCTAACTGAGCCCCTGTGTTGTTTGGGCAGCAGTAAGCAGGGGCCCAGCTGCAGGGAAGGGATCGTGATTGAATGAGTCATGCAATCTCATTCCCTTTGCTTTCCTGGCCTCCCTTGCAGCCAGAGGTGATCAGGTGACCCAGTTCTGACCATTGCAATATGAAGTCCATCTGTGGACCTTTGAGAAGACAAGGAGAAGATAGCAAGGATGGCTTCTGCCCCTCCTCCCATCCCAGCTCCCTCGCTGTCCTCCATGCTCAGGTGACAGGATAGGATCCTGGGGGCTGCTGAGGCATTTGGGACTATGGAGGGAAGGTCAAAAGCACTGAAGATCTGCCAGTTACCAAACACACCAGCACTTTCTAGCTCTGCATGTCTTGGTTCCTGACATATACACCCCTGTTCTTTCTTCCCTTTTTCTTTTCTTTTCTTTTCTTGAGCCCAGCCCAGGCTGGCCTTGACCCAAGATCCTGCTAGCTACAGTCTCAGCATGAATTATAGATGTGCCCAGCCACACCCCTATTTACGTAAGCTGTAATGGCTTGCAGCTGAATGCAGCCCTAACCCGCCAGTCCCTGGTTCCTAGGGGATCCGTTACCACAGAACTGTGGAATCCTAGAGCTGGGAGGCCATGGAAATTTAATTTTATTTGCAATATTCCCCCCTCCCCCGCACCCCACTTACACACCTCGATGACCGGGTGTCATCTATTGCCTAAGAAACCCATGTCTGATGGATTCAGAGGGGGAACAATTTTTATTTTTCCCTGGAGTTTCCACCTGTTTTCTCAGTGTGGACATTGAGAAAGAACAGGGAGTCATAGGCAGGGCAAAGTGGCATTAGTGCCGCCTTTTTCAAATCATGGGATGTTGGCTCAGTTCCATCACTTCTCTGAAACTCAGCCTCTTTATCTGTCAAGTGGAGATGATAAATTCCCTCCCAGTATCAGTGAGAGGATTTTTTGGGGACCGAGCAAGCCCACAGCGATCGATCGTTAGTAGTCTGACCCCTTTTTACATGTGTCAGCTGAGAGTGGGGTGCAGAAAAGAGGTGAGAGGCCAGGCCAGGGCAGGCCATTGTAACTCCCCACCAGGGGCCCGTGTGTGCACACGTACGTGCCTTGTGTGTGTGCACACCTGCCTTCCTGTCTCTCTGGGAACTCAGAGAGGAGGACATCCCAGAGAGAGGTGATGGCCCCTCAGAAATGGAGACATTCCCAACCTGCTCTGCAACCTTGTCTGCAGTTCCCAATCTGTTCAGACCTCCTCCCCCACTCGTTTGGCCAGTCAGAAGCCTGCCCTCGAGGGCAAAGGCTTGATGTCGCTTCACAGCAAGAGCACGCATAGGTGGGAAGGGTTGCAGGTGATCTTTAATTGATAAAAGCCCAACCAGGTCACAGAAGGGCTGGTGGAGGAGGCCCCAGCCAGGAAGAGGCAGTGGAGGAGGGGACAGGTGGTCCTGGGCTCAGCGTCCTGCAGCACGCTGGCCTAGGTGCAGGGGTGGGCCAGGGTCTTACTCATTGGAGCGTCCAATATCAAGGCAGATGCCATAGTTGGTGTTGGTGATGGCACCAAGGATACTCTTGTCTCCCTCACAGGACAGGCCCCGCTCACAGGGACACTTGTAGTAAGTCCCGTAGATCGTCTGCAGAGACACAGCGAGTGGAGTCGTGGTCTGCGGCGGGGGGTGGGCGGCTGTGGGCGCGCTTGCCCCAGCCTGACTAGGGCACCAGCAGGTGGGTCTCTTCTCCTGGGGTGCTTTTCCTTATGGCCTCCCCAGGGGGCGCTGTGGTCCTGGGAGACCCAGGTTCTGGTCTCCACTCTGACTCCTTTGCTCTCTGGGGAATCTCCACCCACCCATGATGGGGAGAGCAAGTGCTCGCTGGCCAGCTGTGAGGGTCACGAGGGGTGATGGGATGGGGCAGTGTCCTCTCTGTCCTCTTCCCCTCAACACTCAATGTCCAGGAGCCTCAGGTGCGTCCTCCCGGGGGTCCTTCCTCCATGCCGCCCCGGCACCCACCTTGGGCGAGCATTCACCGTTCTCTCTGGCCATGTGTGTGCAGCGCGTCAGGCCCAGAATGCTGTCGTGCTGACAGCAGCTGCTCTTGCACTGCACGCTGTTTAGGCAGAGCTCGCCATCTTCCTGCAGGGACAGCCATCATCCTGGACCCTCCCCCACGCTCCTTCCCACCGAACCCCCAGGACCACTGACAGTCCCTCCCTCAGTGGGGCACGTGTGGAGTCCAACCTCTGGGTCCGGTGCCCACTCACACGAGGAGAGGGCAGTGTGGAGGCAGAGAAGCAGCTCTGGGCTGGGGGTACGCTAGCTCCCACACTCCTTTTTTTCTTGGTGGCACTGGGGTTTGAACTCAGGGCCTCATGCTTGCTAGGCAGAAACTCTACCACTTGAGCCACTCTGCCAGCCCCTTTTTTGCGTTAGTTATTTTCCAAATAGGATCTCGAGTTTATGCCCAGTCTGGCCTGGACCTTAGCCTCTAATCTACACTTCCAGCATAGCTGGGATGACAGGGGCTACCATCGTGCCAAGCGTTTTATTGGTTGAGTTGGGGTCTCAAGAGCTTTATTCCCTGGGCTGGCTTTGAACCACAGTCCTGATTTCTGCCTCCTGAGTTGCTAGGATTACAGGCGTGGGCCAATGTGCTGGCTTGTTTTTTGAGACAGGGTCTCACTATGTAGCAATCCTCCTGCCTCAGCCTCCTGAGTGCTGGGATTACAGGTGTGTACCACCACACCGGCAGCTTCCACACTCCTCTGAGGAGCCTGTGAAAGCTCAGGACCATCTCCCTTGTCCCAGACTTTTACATAGACTCACAGGGACCCGCCAAGTCCATCCATGGCACAGAGTGAAGAACATTTGCACTGGGAGCTGGCCACGCAGGACTTGTCCTTCTGTGAGCTACAGTAGAAAGGCAGTGTGGTAGGAGGCAGAGATGGAAGGAACATGGTTTGAGGCCAGCTCAAGCAAAAAAGTTAGTGAGACCCTATCTCAGAAACAAGTGGGGTTATTGGTGGTATACGCCTGTAATCCCAGCTACTCTGAAGGTAGAGGTAGGAGGACCTCAATCCAAGGCTGGCCTGAGAGAAGGCAGGAGACCCTGTTTGAAAAACATACTAAAGCAAAAATGGCTGGAGGCTTGGCTCAAATGGTAGACTGCTTGCCTAGCAAGCGTGAGGCCCTGAGTTCAAACACCAGTACTGTGGCATGGGCATGCCTGCTGGGGCTCCAGCTGCGTGGCCTCAGGCAGGGGCTCCCCTCTCTCCTGTGATCATGGTTGATGACAACCCCGCATGATCAACACCCAGATACATCTTGGAACTGTGTATGGTGACTTCAGAGGCCAGGACTGCTGGCAAAACTCTCTGAACCACAGAACCCCTGAACCCGGGTTCCAGGCAGGGGGCCCAGCTCTGGCTTTGTGGAGAGGGATCACAGCCAGGTAGGATCACTGCTCTGAACACCGCTGCCCCCCACCCCTCCACCCCACCCCGCTGTCCCCGGCCAAGCTCGGGTGTGACCCAGCAGCTTCTGGAGCACCCCGGGAAGAGGTGCAGGATGCAGCCAGGCAGCAAGGGGAGACACAGTTCTCCTGGCCCCAGATAGCTCCAGCTGGGGCCACTAGAGGTCAACAGCCAAGCTTACAGCATCCTATGGAGACCCCTTACCAGGTTGATAAGGAGTCCCCGGGGGTCGGGAGCCGCGGAGGCCACAGAGAGGGCAATGAGCAGAAGGACAAGGACCGTCTCCATGACGACAGGTGCTGAGGCAAGTTAGAACAAGGAGTGTTTTGAGAAGAATAACACACCAATAATTTTAACCTCAAGAGCAAGATATATTTGAGCAAAACCCATGAACTATTAAGAGCAAAACATTTGCTGACTTATGGTTTGCTTTCCTCCTGTACCAGAATTAATGGATAATTATTTGTAGGTTAATTGATAAGTATCGTGAGCACAAACACTATTCTTTGCCAGAACTGTAACCCTATCCTTTCCCTAACCCTTGTCCTGAATTTGAGGAAGCAAATCTTAAAGTATCTCTGTCCTCCTGCCCTCCTTCCCAGCAGAAATCCCCGAGGTTAGAACAGCCAAGTGTGGACAGTCCCTTGCTTTACAAAGAAATCTTCTTGGTTCCTAACTCGACCTGTCCTGTTATTCATGGACCCAAACCGAGGATCTCTCCCTCTGGGCACTTCCTTCACCCACCTTGGTCTTCAGTGACAGTACACCTGGCGTGAGTGCAGGTGGCAGGTCAGCTGGCAAAAGACAACCAGCTGGGGTGGTAGGGCCTTAAAAAGAGCCCTGGTCACACGTGACTCACCTTGTGTCCCGCAGGGCTTCTGTGAGCGGGGGCACAGCTGCGGCCAATCTACTGGGGGAGGGGCAGTCCTGATAAAGTGGCTAGACGGTCACCTGGTGGCTGTGTGTGTGTGCACACACGTGTGATGCAGTATGGCTCAGAGTGTGGGCTTAGACTGGGAGTATGTAGGTCAGAGGTAGAGCGCTTGCCTCGCTATGCAAAAGGTCCTGGGTTTGATTCTCAGCACTGCAAGAAAAGAAAAAACTTGTGTGGACTCTGCACACTTAGCTGTGTGAGTTATTGGCTGGGCAAGTTATTTACATATTGCAGCTCGGTCTTCAGATCTGTCAACGGAAGATGACCTCAGGGTTTGAGAAGGTCAACTTAGCATATGTATACGTGTTGTTTTATATATATATACATGATATATGACATATATATCAACATAATTACTAAAATGTACGTGTAGGGCTGGCAGAGTGGCTCAAGTGGTAGAGTCCCTGCTTAGCAAGTGTGAGGCCCTGAGTTCAAACCCCAGTACAGCCAAAGTAAACAAATAAAAAAGATGTATTTGTATTTTAGATGACCATAAGTGCAGCGCTTGGAAGAGAACCAAGCTTCCCTGGTGCCCTGAGCTCTGGGACAGGGCGAAGCACGTGAGTTGCTTTGAGGTGAGAAGGGCCCAGCCCCTCACCGCCCTTGCCTCACTATTCTGAGCCCTGCCTTTGGTGTCTGGCAGTGTCAGGCTCAGGTGAGGAGGGCTGGCAGCTCCCACCCCTTCACTTCTTTCCAAGTCCCTAGGGCTGGCCAGCACAGCCACCGCTGGCCAGGGCTCATGCTCTTCCTCTTGTGCACAGGGCCTCTGCCCTCATCACAGGGGGGCTGCCCACAGGAGTGATTCAGACCCTCAGGAGTCCTTCTCCTCGATCCCCACCCTTTCCTTCTGACTGAGCATCTGCAAATGAAGTATCAGGGACCCACCCCTGCTGTAATCCCAGAGCTCAGAGGCCAAGGAAGGAGGATTACAAATTCAAGGCCAGCTGGGCCACACAGTGAAACCCTGTCTCAAGAAAAGAAAGAAAAAGAAAAAAGGCTCACCCCTTCAGTAAGGCCTCCACCCACCCTGACCCAACCCAAGGCCACATGTAGGCAGGGGTAGTTGCTAGTTCTGGCTGGGAATGAGGAGGCCTTGTGGTCTCAGGTGGACCAGGATCTAGAATCCGGGAAAGGCACAGCTGCTGGAGTGTGCTCAGGTGTGCAAACAGAGCAGCTTTCCCTGAAGGTCTGATCATGACCGCTAGCCCCAGAGGTGGACAGCTGACGCTGGCAGGCCCCAGATAGGACTGCTTGGGGCACAGCTTTGATCCAGACCAACCTGGCTTCAAAACTCAGCATTTCCTAGCTTCATGGCCTTGGACAAGTTATGAAAACATCGAAACTCCCCGAGCCTCAGTTTCCTTATCTTCCTAAGGGGCCGGGGGTGGGGGGTATGGCTCCCATATCACAAGGTCAGGATAGAATAAGACAAAGTCTGTGGAACCCCGTAATGCTTCCCCTCCCTTGTGTCCCTGGGAACAACCAGAGGAACCAGCCAGGAGACTCCCCAAAGGAGAGAAGCCCACCTGGCTGCAGAGACACAGACATACTGATCAGGGAGCACTGTCCTCTCACTTTTAGGAGCTCAGTGTTTGGAACCACCTTCCACCAAATTCCTCTGCTTCCTCCTGCTCTTCCTTTACCTGGTGTCCTGGCTTGGAGGGTGGCAGGGGAACCTCAGGGGAGGGGGGCTGTGAAAATGCCTGTCCCCAACTGGTCACAGCCAACCTCCCAGAGGAAGGACTGGAATTTTCCATTACAAAAGCAGAGTGTAGTAAGAAGAACTTTGACAATTGTGTCAAAGGTAAGCAAGATGTAGGTCATTTTTATACTAAAACCTCATGAAGCTTAGTCACCTCACCCCCAATCTAAAACCAAAACTGAGGCCCACGGGCATATATTGCACAGGAAAGGACACAGACAAAAGCATACAGACTGCGTGATTCCATCTACCTCAAGGTCAAGGGGCAAAACTAACAGTTGGGGATGTTATCCTTGGGAGGGATATCAACTAGGAGAGGGCCATGGGGATTTCTTCTAGAGTGTGGAGATTGTCTAAATCTTGACTTGGGATGTTGATAATGTATGTAAAAATCCACCTAGCTGTCTGCTTAAGGTTCAAGTCTTTCCTGTACATATGTAATGACACCTCTAAAGAAAAAAAAAGGGCAAGATTCCTCCTGGTCACAATCTTACCACCTGGGATGTTGGGGCTGGAGTGGTGTTGTCCTCCTGCTGAGAGGGCAGAGACACAGTGGCTTTGACACAGAGGGAGCTGTGCTAATAAAGAAGCCATCCCAGGATGCTGTCCTGGGATGCAGGTTTGTGTCACATAGATGTCTCCACGTCTGCAACGTGGAAGTAGGGAAGTCCTGAAGGGCAGTTTTCACCCTATTGATGAGGAAATGGGACAAGAGTTGTCCAGCAGAGGAAAGGAACATAGGTCAGTCAAGAACTATTGGCAGAGGTGCCCCGGCTTCTGCATGGATTTGTACTCACACACACACAAATACACACACCACACACTCACACAGTGGGCTGCATTCCTGACCCCAGGGGTCTGAAACTCTCCATCCCGTCTCCCTATGCCAGAAGCACACACACCTCACTTCTGCAAAGAGGCTCACAGTTCTAGATCAGGGTCAGATGTGACAGGAACTCCACTTAAGATTCAAATTCCCAGGCGGGAGTAGTAGCTCACACCTGTAATACCCGCTATTCTGGAGGTAGAGATTGTGAGGATTGTGGTTCGAGGTCAGCCCAGGTAAAAATGATAGCAAGACCTCTATCTCATTTAATAAGCCAGGCATGGTGTCTTTCTTGTGAATATGGTCCCAGCTACACAGGAGGTCATAGGTAGGAGGATCACAGTCTAAGGTGCAGCTGGGCAAAAAAGCAAGACCCTATCTGAAAACTAGTTAAAGCAAAGAACTTTGGGGTGTGACTCAAGTGTTAGAGCACCTACCCAGCAATGCAAGACTCTGAATTCAGACCTCAGTAGTGCAAAACACACACACACACACACACACACACACACACACACACACAGATTCAAATCCCCCATCTAAAGGCCAGGCTTGGTGGTGCTGTCCTGGGAGCACTTGGGAGGCTGAAGCAGAAGGATCACTTGATCCCTGGAGTTCTGGCCAGTTTGAACAACACAGTGAGAACTTGCCTCAAAAACAAAACCAAGAGGACGTGAATTTAATCAAAGTACATTCAATGCACGTATGGAAATAATCACAATGAAACCCCTTTGTACAATTAATATAACTAAACAAACAAACAAACAAAATCCCAATTGCCTGTGGAGGGACTAAGGCTGGCTTAGTTTGTGTCTTCTGGCCCCTCGCCTGTGACCTGCACTAGGGAGAGCCACGCCCAGGCCGCGTGGAACAGGGAGGAGCACGCACTTCTCCAAACAGAGTGGGTTTTGTTACAAAAGGAGGGAAGGGATTTTGGGCAAACAAGAGACCCACTCAGTTACTCACACACACACACACACACACACTTCCTGCCCGAAGAAGTGGGTTTGAATTACAAATTGGAGTGTGTAATAATTGTAATGTGTAAATTTCCTGTGACCGTCCAGTCTGTCTCGTTTAGGCAGGGGTAGGAAGTGAGTCTTGAGTGACTTGGAGGTTACCAATCTACTTTTAGCTCAACACTCACCTGCAGATTCCCTTGCACCTCCCACTCTCCTGGAGTGGTGCTCCCGTGGCTTGGCAACAGTAGGGGAAAGGGCCTTCATGATCTCCAGTGGCTGCTAGAACGACACCTTGTCTCACCTCATCCTTCCGGGCCTTCGTGGCTGGTCAACATTCACACGCACTCTTTGTGTTTTCCACTTTATAGCCCAGATAAAGCCCACATATTCCATATATTCCAGATATAGCCCATATATGCAACCAAACCCTCTGGAGGACCAACACTGGTAGGCTCTAAGACCAGCATGGAGACCACTCAGTGTCACTTCAGTCAGGGCCCCACTTTCACGTCCATCTCTTCCACTTTAGTCATGATCACACCTCACTATTCTGTAGTTTTGGGGTTAAAATATAAAGCTACCCCACCAAAAGGAAAGAAAAGAGAGTAAGATATGTAAATATATCCGCAGCAGAGCAAAGAGGAGGGCCTGGGCAGATGCTGGAGTCCCCTTTTCTGCAGGCGCCACCTGGTGGCTGCAGATGTACTTATGACTTTCATTCTCTGTCCCCCATCCAGTGTCCCCTTTGCCCTCAGCCACCATCTCTGCCCTTAAGGGCTCCTGATGCTGTTCATTCAGATGTGTTCTGAGATATCTGGGTCTTCATGTTCCTGACCCTGTGATGGGCTACTGAAGTCCTGAATTCATTCTTTTTTCCTTTCCATTACTTTTTACTCTGGACATGGTGGTAACAAGAAGGACACTGGGCATTTCCTGCCCACACATGCTCTTTCCTGCCCCCTGTGTGTCAAAATCCTGTCTCCCCTTGATAGTCAAGATTGGCACCCCTACCAACAATAGTAATCCCTATTTTAAATGTTAAAGTATAATAAATAGCATAAAATTTGCCCCTTTTAGTATACAGATTCATGAGTTTTGACAAATGCTGTCATGTAACCACTGCATCATCAAGACACAGAACACTTCTATCACCCTGAAAAATCCCTCACACTACCCCTTTGCAATCTGTCCCCCGCCAGATCCTGGCAACTACAGATTTGTTTTCTTTCCTCTAGTTTAGCTTCCTCCATATGTAATATAGATGAGATCACACAGTATGCACGTTGTATCTGTGTGTGTGTGTGTGTGTGTGTGTGTGTGTGTGTGTGTGGTTTGGCTTCTTTTAGTAAGCGTAATGCATTTGAGATTCCCGTATGTTGTTGTGGACATCAGTTGTTTCTTTTTAAACAATTAGCTTTTGTTGTTGCTGGTTTTGGTGCTGGGGATGGACCCAGGGCCTCCCACACACTCTGCATATGTTCTACCACTGAGCTACACACCCAGACCAAATTTGTTTATAGTGTACAGTAGTAATCCACCGTGTGCATGGAATGGCAGTGAGCTCGTGTCAACCTTGGCAGCTGAAGGACAGTTGGGCTAGTTCTCAAAAGCTTTGGGCATTATGAAGAAAAATTCTACTTTGTGCCCACATAAAGATTTTCTCTGTGAACACAAATTTTCATTTCTCAGGAACAGATATGAGTGAGAGGGCTGGGTCATATGGCAAATGTCTGTTTTAGAAACACTATTTGACATTGCCATGTGATCTTTGTGCCTAGGGGATTCTGTACCATACCCAGTGTTCCTAGCTCAGTTGCAGCCCAGGCCCTGGCTGAATCATTCTTGTCACCTTCAGGATGCTCTCTTCCTCTGCCCCCTCAAAGAAGAAAGAAACATGATTCTTTCTTTTTACAACCCCAGAGGTTGTTGCAGGTTTGGGAGAGAGAAAGAAGGAAGCTTCTCGACTGGGTAGTTCCACTGTAGTCTCTGCACTGTCTAGACCTACCACACCAAGTCCTAAGTGACTGAACCAGTGTGCCTTTCTGCTAGGTCCATAAAGCCATGTCATTGTTTAATTTGCACTTCTCTACTGACTAATGATGTTGAACACTTTTTTTCATATTTACTGTCTTGTATCTTCTTTGATAAAGTGTTCGTTCAAATATTTTGCCCATTAAAGAATCAGAGTATTTGTTTTCTTATTATTGATTTTGAGAGTTATGAATGTCATACCAGGGACACAAGGTTTGCTGGTATTTTGGGGAATCAGTAGTGACTGTGGCTGTGTCAACCTTGGTGGCAATCCATGCCTACATAGTTTCTGTCGCTCTCTGTGGACCCCTTGTCATGAGTCTTTGTACCAGCACAGATGAGGGCAATGTGGGGGGTGCAGAAGGAGGCTGGCTAGCGTCCACATGGTGAGTCGTCCTCTCCAGCTGATGTAGAAGCCTCCTTTGCAGTAGGAGCCCTCCAGAGAACATTCCTATAGGTCCCATGTACTCTATGGTTCTGCCCCTATTCACACACACCCTCTCTCAACATCTACCTAATCTTCAAAACTCTGTCTGTCAACAGGACTTCACTTACTACAGAGGATCTGGGGGAGAATCTGCTTCATGCCATCTGTCTGTCTGTCTATCTGTATGTATGTATGTATTTGCAGTGCTGGGGATGGAACCCAGGGCTTTATGCATGCTAAGCAAGTGCTCTACCACTGAGCCACACCCCCAGGCCATTCCTCTTCCTCTTCTTGTTTCTAGTGGATGCCAGCTTCTCTGGCTATGGCCACATCACCCTAATCTCTGCCTCTGTGGTCATATCAATTTATCTTCTGTGTCTGTTATCCCCTTCCTGTTTCTTTTATAAGAATATTTGTCACTGAGTTTAGGGCCCATCCAGATAATCTTGCAGGATCTCTTTACTGAAAGTTTTAAAATTTAGTTACATCGTAAAGAACTTTTTAAAATATAAATAACATTCACAGCTTTTGTGGATGTTTTGGGGATAGAAAGCACTTGAAATTTCCCTTCCTGAAGTCCTGAGGACCGTCCTGAGTGGGGATGTCAAGCCACAGCTGTCCCCTTCGATGTGGTGACCATACACACCAGAGCTCTCTCCAGAGCAGGCAGGGGAAGGAGGCCAGGACCATTTGGCTTCCACAGTGAGAGGTCAAGTTTGTATCTGGCTACTTAGCTAGTACGTGGCTGGCTTAAATCCAGGTTGACTGAAGCTAAAGTCCATGTTTTGAAGATGGGCTTATCCTTCCTTAGTCCTGATGTTGGGGTTATGAAGGATTCTTACTCTTTTATGTATACATCTCTATACTAGCCATGGAATTACCTATAAAACCAGGAGAAATCTATTTGTAAAAGGGAAAGGAGACCCACAACACAAGTGCATGGGTGAGAGGAAGAAGCTGTATTGAATAAGGCTCACAAAGGATGCTCTGCTGCACTTGGCGTCTTTTTCGACACTATGGGTCACAGGCGTCCGCATCTCTCTGTCTTTGAGGGCAGGGACCCTTTCCTTTTAGTCGCTGTGGCTCTTGCTCAGAAGATAACCTCCATCCACACAGGCTTCGCACGTTGACTAAATAATGGGGCCCAGAAACCACAATCGGGAGAGGCTTTGCAGGCCTCCGGTGGTGGGAACTGGAGGTTCCGAAGGGTGACAAGGGATGTAGACGCCACTCGGGAAACGGTTTTGCAGCTGGCACTGAGGACAACTGCAAAAAACGTGGCAGCCGCAGTCCACCCTCCCAATTCTTGTCATCCGGGCGGTCAGGGCTCCCGCAACTCTCGAGCCCCCGGGCGCTGGCCGCGGTGCTGAAACGGCGCTCTCGGCGGGACGGGAGGGAGGGGCGGGGCGGGGAGGGCGGGGCTCCCAGCTCGGGGCGGGGGGGGGTGGGACAAGGAGGGCGGGGCTCCCAGCTCGGGGCGGAGGGAGGAGGGGCGGGGAGGGCGGGGCTCCCAGCTCGGGGCGGAGGGGGGGACAAGGAGGGCGGGGCTCCGAGCTCCGAGCGGGGGGGAGGGGAGGGGCGGGGCGGCGCCTGCAGGCGGAGACCCCGCTTGACCCTAGAGCAGTTCCGAGACACCAGACCCGCTGCCTAGAGCGGTCACGGGCATCTGGCACTCGTCCCCTGACGAAGCCAAGGCTGTCCTGTCCTAGTAAGCCTCTTCCCCCTACTCTAGGGGGGACTCTCACCTTGTGCCCTGACCTCAGCCTCCTCCCCTAACCCGGCTGAGGAGTGATCCTTTTCGGGGCCTCCATCCCCAAAGCCGCAGACGTGCAGCCCAGGCGTCCCCCGGCCGACGCCTGCTGCCCTCACCATGGTGAAGTTGCTGCCCGCCCAGGAGGCCGCCAAGATCTACCACACCAACTACGTGCGGAACTCGCGCGCCGTGGGCGTGATGTGGGGCACGCTCACCATCTGCTTCTCCGTGCTGGTCATGGCCCTCTTCATCCAGCCCTACTGGATCGGCGACAGCGTGAACACACCGCAGGCAGGCTACTTCGGCCTTTTCTCCTACTGCGTGGGGAACGTGCTGTCCTCCGAGCTCATCTGCAAGGGCGGCCCTCTGGACTTCTCCTCCATCCCCTCCAGAGCCTTTAAGACAGCCATGTTTTTTGTGGCCCTGAGCATGTTCCTCATCATTGGCTCCATCATCTGTTTCAGCCTGTTCTTCGTCTGCAACACCGCCACGGTCTACAAGATCTGCGCGTGGATGCAGCTGGCTGCAGGTGAGCAGGAGGGTGGGAAGACAGGCCACCACCATGGCTCCCCAGCCCACCCTCTGTGTAAGCTCTGCCTCTTCTTGTCAAAATGTCAGAGGGACATTCTGAGTGCAGAATCTGGAAAGGACCTCAGAGGTCAAACTGTTCAATCTGCTCATGCTACAGAGGTACTAAGCTGGAAAGAAGTCTTTCCCGGGAGCACACAGTTCCTGGTAGAAGAAAGCAGGTGTCCTGACTCCCAGAGGTGGTTGTGTGAGAATAGGGCCCAACCCCAAGGGCCAAAGAGCGATGCTAGCCACAGGACCCGCATCTCCCTCTTCCTAGGCCAGATCTCTGTCCTCCCTTCTCCCCTTCCACCCCAAACCCATCTCATGGAAGGATCTAAGGAGTGTCACTGTTATGCTGGTGTAACCTCTCCCTTAGAAACTTACCTTCCCCTCTTTCATTGTGGAGAGAATCTTTGTTACCTGATTTTGGATTCCATACTTGAGGCAGCAAATAAAACAATATTTTGTGAGATGGGGGAGGCTTTCTAGGGTCCTTTAATACTATTTCAGGTAGCTGGCCACTTGTGGGCCCTGAGGCAAGGCCTTCCCTGCACTTTTTCTTGCTCAGGTGGACCTTTTGGTCTTTGGTTCTCTTGGTCATTGTACCAACTGGTCCTGCTCACCTCTGTAGTCCAGGAAGAGATGGCCTGAAATCTTGACTACAGGCTTTTGCAGTTCCCTGCCTACTCCAAGGACTACACACAGGCTGTCCACACTGTTCCCCAGGAGCAGTACTGGGGACAGCAGATTAGAGTGAAGCCATCTTGACATGTGTGATTAGAGTGAGACGTTGTATTATCTTATGGGGAATGAGACAGGGAACTGAACACCAGGCCATATCCACAAGACTGAAGACTACAGAGCTGGAAGTGACCCACAGGGCTAAACCCTACCACATCCACAGATGAGAAATCTGGGGCTGAGAAAGACAGATGGTCAATGTTGGCCTAGGCTATAGCAGATTAGTTGGCAACTGGAGCGCTAGAAAAATTAAGGCAGGGGATCTCTAGAAACTAGATGTATCCCAAAGCCATTTTTATTGAGGCCCACATTTACATAACTGTAATGACTTATGAAATACTTCCTCACATATTGTCTGAAGGAGCCCCATCATGATCAGTAGGTGAGTACTCCTGTTTACCGATAAGACTCCTAGTGGGCATCTTGGTTTTGAGCACACAGGTAGCAAGCGACAGACTCTTGATTCCCTGTCTTGCACCCAGGCCACCAACCTGGCTTCAGAGTTCCTCCCAATCCCCCAGAAGTCTCCAGCTCCTCTGGAGCCTCTCTGTGATTGTAGTGTTGGAGGGCAATGCAGAGAAAGGTAGAGGGTGGTCATATCAGGAAAGAAGGGGGGATGAGGAGCTAACAGCCTTGTGCCAAAGGGTAGTGGAATGGGCTGACATGTCTGCTAGCTAGTCCTCCGTATTAGGGGTGTGGGATGCCAGAGACACACCATCCTCATCTGTCCTCCACCCTGACATCCTGCAACAGATGCCAGGAAAGCACCTGGCCATTTGCATCAGACCCTATCTGGGTCACAGAGCTGGAGACACTGATAGCAGAGGTGGCCAGGTGCCATCCCATGAAACATTTATGTTGAAGGAGAACACAGGTAGTGTAATGTTCCATTCTGCTGTGTTGGGGAAGAGAGAATGAACCGAAGGGAGGGTTGGGGAGGGGGTGAACCCCACAGTCAGCAGCTGGGAGATGCACCCCTTTGAAGAAGCCTAAACCAGTTAGCTCAGCCCCACCCACAAAGCATGGGATCAGGGAAGGGGCAGGGAGGAGGGCAGGACTGACAATGGGCGACGTGGGGCTGCAGCTTAATAGAATTAGGAGATTCTGGATGCTAGGTGCAAGCTGAGTGTGATCTCAGCCCTTAGCAACACAGGTAGGGCAAATCGTTTGTCTTCTCTGAGGCTTGCTCAGCTCATGTCTTAGCCAATTTGGGATGCTATAATAAATTGCCAAAGACTGGGAGGCTTAACAACAAATTTATTTCTCACAGTTCTGGACACTGGAAGTCTGGGATCCACACACTCCACGACAGTCTAGGTCTGGCAAGGGCCCTCTTCCGGTTGCAGATTATTAAATTCTTGCTGTGTTCTCAAAGGGTAAAGAGGGCAAGAAGGCTCTCTGTGGTCCCTTTAGTAAAGGCACTACCTCCATTTGGGAGGGGCCCATCCCCATGACCTAATTTCCTCCCCAAAGCTCCGATTTCTAATACCATTATGTCAGGGGTTGAGATTTCAACACGTGAATTTGGGAGGGATGAGCATTCTGCCCAGTATACCTGATCTGTAGAAGGTAGCACCACGCCCCTTTTCATCAGGCTCTTGTAGGATGGGATGACAGAATTCACATGAAGCACCCTATGTTGTCATCTGCAGGGAAACTGAACTGAAGAGCATCCTGTTAAGTGAAATAAACCAGACTGAGAAAGACAGATTAGGATGCTGTCTCTCAGATGCAGAACACAGACCAAAGAAAAGAACATGGGACACAAAATGGGGGCTCTTTGAGGGTAGGAACCAATGGGAGAGGGGAGGGTGAAAGGAGAGGGAGAAGGGGGTGAATGGGATTGCAGTACTTCTTATGCATGTGTGAAAACAGAATAATGAAACCCATTAAAATTGTCTAAGAAGGGAGGAAGGGGACATGAAAGAGTAATAGAGGGGATGAATTTGATCAAACTGTATCATTTGTGGGTATGGCAATATCACAATGAAACTCCTTTGTACAATTAATATACACTAATTTAAAAAACACCTTATAGGTACTGGATAAATGTGAAAAAGACAGAAAACAACTTTATCAGTCAGGATGGGAAGTGATGCCACAGTACAAACAACTCTACACTCTTGGTGGAATATTTGCAAATAGCTCCAATGACATCCACATCCTCTGAGGTGGCGTCCATCTAACTCCAATGCCAGTAATAATATCGATGACTAACGTTAATTGGTGTCAGACCGTGTGCCAGATACCATGGCAAACATTTCTGCATGTGACTACTCGGAATTCTTACAACTGTGCTGAGAGTCAGGTATTACTCTACTTTACAGATGAGAGCGCGGCAGTTGGGAAGGGTCAGAGAGCTGGCTGGGGAACACCATGCTGGTTGTTACTTGTGATCCCTGAGCGGGGGGTGGGGCTCAGTGGTAGAGCTGTTTGCCCAGCATGTTTAAGGTTCTGGGATGGATCTCCAGCAACACAGAAAATAAAGAGAAAAAATTCTTTCCTGGGTGAGGGCATGGCTCAAGTCATAGAGCACTTGCCTAGAATGTGGGAGGCCCTGGGTTCAACCCGCAGCACCACACAAAATGAATGCGAGCCCACTAGACATCAAAAGCAGTAGAAGATCCTGCCACTGTTTGTGGAATGGTGAGTGGGTGCACACTCATCACAGGGAGCTGTCACACCCACAGCAACAACAATCTCCAAGTCAGAGACCCGTTTCCCGGAGCCCCTAATTGCCATGGAGAAGGGGAGAAGTGAGGAGAATGGGGAGTCTGCAAGGGAACTCCCATTTCCACGTTCACCTGTGCTCTTAGCATTTGTGAGGCGCTGCTCCCTTAACTAGGGTCCCTGCCAGGGAAGAGGCTACACAGGCTTTCCCACAGAACTATGGGAGGGATCCTTCACCCAAAGTCTCTTCTTGAACACATCTCAGTTTGTCATCAAGTCTGAAATGGCACTGCTTAAACACATTCAGCCCTTTGGAGAGATGTCATAGTCTGGGAGTGGAGGGCATGAACTTTGAAGTCAGAAAAGTCAGTTCAGAAAGTCACCTGGTTTCTCTGAGCCCTCAGTATGGGGATATTAATATCTGACCCACTTCACGGAACTGTTGTCAGGGCCAAGATGGCACATAAAGTATTTTGTGATTTATCAAAGAACTATGAGTTCCTCTGTATTGGTCACTTTTGCGTTGCCTTGACCAAAAGACCCAAGAACAACTTAAAGGAATTATTTACTTTGGCTCACAGTTTCAGAGGTATCAGTCATTGTGGTGGAGAGGGCACAGTGGAGCACAGGAGTTCGCATCATGGTGGACAGGAATAGGCCCCAGTGATCTATTTCCTTCAGGGGGCCCAGCTCCTATTTTCACCACCTCCCAGTAAGGCCATCGTGCTATGAATTCATCCAGGGATTAATCCATTCATTAGGTCACAGCCCTCAGGCTCTAACAGTCCCTGGAACCCCCTCAGAGGTCGTTTTTCTCAATTCAGTAAAGTTGGTAAGCAAGAGAAAGTCGTGTTATCCTATAAAATCCAAAGGAAGGTTGATACTTTTTTTTTGTGGTACTAAGGTTTGAACTCAAGGCCTTATTCTTGCTTGACCTTCCCTTGATGGGAAAGTGGGGCCCTGATCTTTTCATTTCACCATGCACATTTGCCCCGTTGACCTTCTTTATAAGAACAAGCTGGGTCAAGGGGAGGTGGTAACTTGAGGTCCCACAAGGAGCTTTCTGAGGGGAAGGTCAGAGAAGGGCACAGCCTTGGGACTAGGCCTGTGAGAGCGGTTCAGGGTGGGAGCATGGCACAGGCTTGGGAAGCACTCCTGCCTGTGTGGTCACCTCAGGATTATGTCATCTGCCTGTGCTTTACCCTAGTGAAGCTAAGGTGAGAGATGGTTTCATGGAGGGGAAGGAAGAAGTGGGGGAAGGTAGGGAGAATAGAACTTTTATCTATAAACCAGGGTGGCTGTGCCTTGTAGCTAACACTCACGGGGAGTCAGGTCTGCGCCCCGCACCTTTCCAGTGTCCTTTTGATCTCCTTGCAACCCCAGCAAGTAGGTAGCATTATCTCCATTTTATCAATGAGGAAACTCAGATGCGGAAAGTTTAAGTAGCTTGCATCAAGTCACCTATCTGGTTAGCACAGAGCTGGTCTTGAAATCCAGGCAGTGTGGTTTCATAGTTTCTACCTTTCCTACCGAATCACCTAGAAGAAAGCTTTTGGAAATGGGATTCCTGAGCTCATCCACGTTGGCCTGGGAACCAGCATTTAAAATGAATGTAAGTGGATGCTTCAATTCAGAAAAGCGTGGGCAGTGCACTGTGCTGTCTTGGGTTGGAGGAAGAGGAACCCTATTTGCCTGTGTGGAAATTTCGTGGAGAAAGAGCTGGGCTAGGCTGGGCTGGAAGCCGTCCTGCACTCATTAAATCTAAGACATGAGCTGTAGGACACCTCATTGGACTGTCTACTGTAAAAAACGAAGAATAATGCTACTGAGAACTATGACCTGATGCTTTTTATACATAGTACAGAAATGTTGAAATACAAACAAATGTTCACCGCACAGGCAATGAGTCCTCTGGCTGGAATCAGATTTTGGAGCCAGGTGAGGAGCTTAGCTGACGTCGTGGTGGGACTTCCTGGTGCCATGGCAGATGCCGCCCTGGCTGAGAGGCCCAGGCCTCTGCTTCTGCCCCTCACTGCTGAGGGGTGGGGGGGCTGCTCTAGCTTTGGGAGCCTCAGTTTTTTCATCTGTGCTCTACAAGAATGGTGGCAGGACTGCCTCTTGTGGCTGTCACGGCTAACCCAAGGACAAGGAGCAGTGACAGAGCAGTTCAAAGTGGGAGATAGCAGGCTGGCACACCAAGCCTAACACCCTCTGTATTCCCTCTTGGCTCTTAGCCACAGGCCTGATGATTGGCTGTCTGGTCTACCCTGATGGTTGGGACTCAAGCGAGGTGCGGCGTATGTGCGGGGAACAGACGGGCAAGTACACACTGGGCCACTGCACCGTCCGCTGGGCCTTCATGCTCGCCATCCTTAGCATCGGCGACGCCCTGATCCTCTCCTTCTTGGCTTTCGTGTTGGGCTACAGGCAGGACAAGCTCCTCCCTGACGACTACACGGCAGATGGGAAAGGTAACCTCTCCTCCTTCACAGTGGTGTCTCCTGCCTGGGCGTCTCGGTCACAATGCGTCTCAGTCCCTAGGGTGGAGACACCAACGCTGACCAATAAGACACAGGCCTTGTCCTCCCTGAGGGTTGTGAGATGGCAGGTGATGGCAGAGGCAGTCTGTTATGGAGGAGTGTCCTGTACCCCACTGTCTCTCAGAGCCTGCAGGGGGAGAGCCCTAACCCAGCCTGAGGAGCGAAGCAGTTGGCACTGGGGCTAGGTCTTGACGTATGGGGCTGGGGGTCACTAGGAGGAGAGAAGAACGGGCAGAGGGGCTGAGTTTCTGGGGAAGCTGGAGTAGGGAAGTTAATGCTTGGGATGGTGAGGGTGCTGAAGGGACAGCTCCTGGAGTACAGCTGGCAAGAGCTTGGCTCCCCTGGGCTATGGCTGCCCCAGGCTGTCCACTCATCCATCCTGTTCCAGTTCCTTCTCATCCAAACCCTACCCACCACCCAGCTGTAGCTGACCTTCAAGGCCCAGGCGGACGCTCTGGAATCTTCCCTGTCTGCTTTTCACTGACCCCCCCCCCCTTCTCACTGTGTTTGAAGGACTTTTTCAGAGTGTAAATATCATCTCCTTGTCAGAAGGCAAGGCCTGTCTCATACCCTTAAGAATCCCACAATGGTGGCAGGTGGCCACCTTAGGGATTGTTGCCCTTCAGGGATTTCTCCAGCTTCCTTTCCCCATAGCCGTCTTCATATCAGCCCTTGGAACTGAACCAGAAGCCAAATGTCCCCGTACCCTATGACTACGGACACTTCCCACATGAGGAATTTGAGTTCCAAAGGGGGACTCGCCCAGAGGTGCACAGAAGGTGTGGCAAAGAGGAGCCTGGAACTCAGGACTTCTCTAGCTGAGCTGTGGCCCGCTTCGCTGTAGGAAGTCTGGAATGCTCTGCCTTTCTTTTTTCTTTGGTGGAACTGGGATTTGAACTCAGGACTTCACACTTGCAAAGCAGGTGCTCTCCTGCTCAAGCCATGCCTCCAGTCCATTCTGCTCTGGTTATTTTGGAGATGGGGTCTCGTGAACTATTTGTCTAGGTTGGCCTCGAACCATGATCCTCCATTTCTCAGTCTCTCAAGTAGCTAGGATTACAGGCATGCATCACTGTGCCTGGCTCACTTCACCTTTCTTTCAGAGTGGAAGAAGAGAAACTCACATACCTGTTATATAGAAAAGGTAAAAATTCAAATTGCTAGAAAGAGGTGGGCCATGGAGGAGACAAGAGGGAGATTTCTTTCCTTTGTGATAGGTTCCTGTAGGCCTGGGTCCCTTGAGGATGTGATAAAGGGAAAGAAAATAGAGCTGGTACTTATGGAGCCATTTCCACGTGCAGGGGTGATGTGAGATTTTTTCACAGGGGCCATTTTTGGTTAATCTGCAACAGTTCTGTGAGGAAATGCTGCAAGGTGGGCATCCAGCAGCCGTTTGCTAAGTCAGCATGTTCTCCCTCCATGGAGGCCTTTCCAGGGCTGCAGCTGGAGCTGTCGGAAGCATCGTGTCTAGCTCTCGGCCTCCACGCCAAGTTGCCCTTGAATCCATCTGGATGCATGCGCAGCGCTCTTCATCCATCTGCAGTCTCCCTCTTTCATGTTTATTCACATAAGTTCTCTTTGAGGGCCTTTTTACATAGAGGTGATTTTGTTTGACATCTCCTTTACTGATCAAAATGTTAGTTCGTTTTTTTCTCCCTCCCCATTCCTCTCCTCTCATATCCCATGCCCCTTGTCCTGCCTGAGTCTGTTCAGACTTTTCCTCTCCACGTTTCCGTTCCTTCACTATACTGAAGGGCTTTTGGTTTTTTTTTTTTTTTTTTTTTTGTAACCTGTGAGGAAACACCTCCATAACCATTCTCAATGCTTTATCTGTTAGTCAGTGAAGGTTCCTACTTATCCTGTCAAGGATAAAATCAGGACCAGAAGAGTCTGTCTGAGTCCTAGTTCTTCCACGTCACTTCACCTCCAAGTTCCTTCCAGTACAAAGGAGAACACAGGCTGGGCTCTGCCACTTCCCTTATGGTGCAAGCAGATCTGAGGCCTCATGCGGAGAAGGCTGTGGACCTACTGTTGGGGGTGTGAGAAGAGGAGGACAGTGAGCGTGGGCTTTGCAGTCAGAGCTGGGCTCAATTGTTAAGTAGGTGCGTGACCTTACAGAGGCTGCTTCAGTTTTCTCATCTGAGCCTAATTTCAATAGTGGGGAAGGTTTCTCCTCACTTGTAAAAAAAGATAAAAAATAAAAAAATCTCTTTCAAATCATCATGGAAAAAAAAGACTGTGCTTATGAACAACATGCTTGTCCTTGTCACTTCTGTTGAACGCTGTACAGGAGGTTACAGCCAGTCAGGAAAGAAAAGGAAAACTTAACAATCCATTCAGAGAAGAAAACATAAGCCTATCTCAAGCAACAACATAAACTCTCTATTAGCAGTTGATAGGATCTCATATATGGGAAATCCTATTAAAAAACCAAAACTATTAAAACCAACACACAATTTTAGCGAGGTTGCAATATATGAGTAACATACAATCACTTACTTGGCTAGGCACCAGTGGCTCACGCCTGCAATCCCAGCTACTCAAGGCAGAGAAATCAGGAGGATTGCAGTTTGAAGCTAGCCTGGGAAAATAGTTTGAGACCATCTCTCAAAAATACCAAACACAAAAAAGGGCCAGTGGAGTAGCTTCAGTGCAAGATTTGAACATGAAACTGACATGTTGAGAAAAATGAAATAACTAAACGAGTGGAACAACATCCTATGTTTGTGGACTGGAAATCTGATGTTAAGATGGTGACACTGCCCACAGGGACCTACAGCTCCTATGCAATCCCTACCTGATCTGTTTGCAGAAAGTGATGAGCTGATCCTAAAATTCAATATGGAAATGCAAGGGACTCAGAATAGTCAAAATAACATTGACGAGTAACAAAGTTGGAAGATGGATATGTTCCAGTTTCAAAACTTAGAACGTGATTTCAATAATCAAGACAGAATGGTACCAGCACAAGGATAGACACCCAGGCCATTGCAATAGAATTGAGAGTCTAGAAGTAACCCCAAGCATTTATGGGCAACTCTTTTTCAATTAGGGTGCCAAGACCATTCAATGAGGGGAAGGAATAGTCTTCACAATAAATGGTGTTGGAATAAGCAGATGTCTCCATGTAGAAGAATGAAGTTGGATTTCTACCTCACATCATATATTAAAAAAAAAATTACCACAAGACCTAAATGTGAGCCAGGTACCAGTGACTCATGCTTGTAATGCCAGCTACTTGGGAGGCTGAGATTGAGAGGATTGAGGTTTGAGGCAAACCTGGGCAAATACTCCAAGAGACCCCATCTCCAAAATAACCAGAGCAAAATGGACTGGAGGAGTGGCTCAAGTGGTAGAGACCTGCTTTGCAAGTGTGAATCCCTGAGTTCAAACACCAGTACCACCAGAAAATTAAATAAAGAAAAAAATCTTAAATGTAAGACATAAAACTATAAAAATCTTAAAGGAACATGGGTGTAAGTCTTCATGAACTTAGGTTGGGCAATGGCTTCTTAGCTCTGACTTCTGATACACAAGCAATCAAAGGGAAGAAATAGAGATACTGGACTTAACTAAAACTAAAAATTTTTGTGCTTCAATTTGCGCCATCAAGAAAATGAAAAGATAACCCACAGGTTAGGAGAAAATATTTGCCCATCACAGTCTATATCCAGACTATATAAGAACTGCAACTCAACAATAAAAAGACACATTACCCAACTTTTATTAATTTTTTTTTGATGCTGTGGATTGGCCCAAGGGTGTTCTGCATATTAAACACACACTTTATCACTGAGATACCCCCCCAGTCCCTACCAATTTTTAAAATGAGCAAAGGATTCAAACAGGCATTCCTCTGAAGAGGATACCACATGCCCACTTAGCACATGGGAAGATGCTCGACATCATTACTCATTAGGAAAATGCCAATCAAGCCACAGAGAGCACAACTTCACACCTGTTAGGATGGCTCCAACAAAAAGATAAGAATACAGTGTCAGTGGGTACAGGGAGAAACCGGAGCCCTCCTGCACTGCTAATGGAAAATGCTGCCCCCGCTGTGGGGGGACAGTCTCTTGGTTCCTCAGTGGTTAATCATAGTTACCTGCAATTCCACTCCTATGTTTCTACACAAGAAAATGGAGAACATATATATTCAAGCAAAATCTTGTACACAGATATCCATAGCAGCAAAATAGCCAAAAAGTGGAAACAAGTGTCCATGAATAAACACATTTTGTTTATCCATACAAGGAAATATTACACAGCTCTGAAAAGGAATGGACTACAATGGAATGGTTACAATGTGGGTAAATCTTGCACGTTATGTTAAATGAAAGAAGTCAGATGCAAAGACTGGTTTCCACCTGACATCTATGATTCCATTTCATATTAAGTGTCAGAACAGGCAGCTCCACAGACAGAAAGCAGGTTAGTGGTTTGCTAGGAACAGGAAGAGGGAAGGATCAAGGCTATGCTGGTGTTCTTTCTGGAGTGATGGAGATGTGTTAGAATTAGACACTGCTGATATTTGCATGGTCAAGCGAATATGCCAAAAACATGGACTTGTATACTTGAAATGAGTTTGTTTTATATCAGCGAATAGTATTAATAAAGAGTGAGATTGTGCTGAGGACTCAAAGGCATATATAAACCACTCGCAGCCTGCATTTCACAGGTGACTAGTAAATAGTTTTCTCCCCTTTCTCTCTCTCTGGTCTCTCCACTTTTTGTATCACCCACCAGCCCAACCAATAATTAACTGTCCTCGGGGTGCATGCCAACACTTAGGCACGGGTGTACAGTGGTGAGGGAAGGAGAGGAGATTGGAGGTCGCCCTCTGCTAAGAGACAAATCCCAGTAGATCCATGTTGGGGACAAACAGCACAAGCTTTGTTGAGTGAATAAGAGGAATGTGGCCCAGCTTGGGGATGGGGCTCTGTGCGGAATGACCCCTAAACACAGGCGTGGCTGTGAACACTGTTTTCTCTTGCATTTCAGAGGAAGTCTGAAGCAGCTGGAGGTCGGTGAGTAATTAATTCTGCAGCCTCTGGAAGGCTGGGCCTTTTCGGCTCCTCACAGAATCCTCAGGAGGAATGAGTCGGGCTGCCATGCGGCTGGGAGGGAGGAGCGACATAGGCAGATGCTGGGTGGGGGCGAATAGGAACCCTCAGTCTTACTTGAGATGGGGTAAAAAGAACAAGGAGAACAAAAATAATTTGAAATAGGCAGGGGGTTAGTTTCATAAACTTTTTTTTTTGGGTGGAACCTGGCAAACAAGAACAGTTTTTAGGGGTTACTGTTGTCATTTGGGCTCCGATTTTCATAAAGAATTTTAAGTGATTTGTAAAAAACATAGAAAGCCTAATAAAACAGACAATAGAATATAGAGAAAAACATTCAAGAAAGCTAGGCTAATAGAGTTACTGTGTTGAATGTTAAATTTGGTTCTATTCTTCCTGATAGCTGAGGCAAAAAAAGAAATGAATTAACCAGTTTTAATATCTGATGCAAAAATGAGCATACATATTATCTTTTAGTTTCGAAAATGTGATTTAACAGTAAGAATTTAGAAAAGATGCCGTGTGACGGTGGCTTATGCCTGTAATTCTTAGCTGCTTGGGAAGCAGAGACAGGAGGATCTCAGGCCAAGGCCAGCCTGGGGTGGGGAAAACAGTTCGAGATCCCATCTCCAAAATGAGCTGAGTAAAATGGACTGGAGGTGTGGCTCAAGCAGTAGAGCGCCTGCTTTGAAGCGTGAAGCTGAGTTCAAACCACTGAGCCACTCCACTAGCCCTTTTTTATATTGAGTATTTTCGAGA